TGCTTTTCCTACAGTCCAGTGTGGTGGATTTAATCTTATGGTCTCATTTCTTGAACTGGGATGCAACAGGTATAAATACAGTTTATTATATTATTATTATTTGAAGAGGCACAAATGGAAGGCGAAAGAGAAAAACGTGCCAAGAGGAAGGCAACCGAGACCGCCTTCCGTCAGGAAACCAATGCCCTCACTGCGGGCAGAGGCGGCCCTAGGTAATTTTCAATGGTAAGCAAACAGTATTTTGGTGCCCCCCCCCAACCAATCACTGATATGGAGCAAGAACGAGAGGGGCTAGGGGAGGCTCAAGGGCCCGGCCCCTTCGGGAAGAGGATTGCCCGGCAGTGAGGCAAGGAAGTTGAGGCTCCCACCGGACTGCTAGGGCTGTTGTGAGCCGAGGGGGCGCTCCTCAAGTGGCAGTCGAGGGGCATTTGCAGAGGCACCTCTGCGCCCCTGGCAAAAAAAAAAGTGTACCGCGACCGCTTACTTTGCATAATGGACGAGCCGCCCCTGACTGCGGGAGAAGATGCATATTAAGAATAGGGCTCCACAATTACCTACAGACCCACCAGAACACTGATCTTGGAAGACTATCCTACTCGGACAATGAGCCTAAGGCAAGGATTCGGTGTCTGTTGTGTTGGGTGTGGAACATAACTGTTTGTATGTCAATCTCATGCAGGATAACCAAGGGTAGTCTCTTTAGTTTTCATTTTCCATCGGAAAGCCTTCTTGACTTGCTTCCTTTGTGTGCAAGAGAGCCGCGAATTGTGGAGTAGATTCCACATCAGCCAGATTTCCGCCACCTTCAGGCTATGGACCACCATGAGGTCTTTGTAAAAGCAAGGATCAAAAGTCTGCAGGTTAGGCGCAGCGGAGGGCTTGGTAATCCCAAAGGTCTTGAACCCTTCATGCATGACAGGCTTCAGGTTGATTCTTTGGAGGCACATGCCCAAGAAGACGTCGTCAATGGGGAAGAGTTCCACCTGGCTGCAGGCCTGGGAGAGCTTCCTCATGGTACTGCTGGAGAGCAAGAACCCTCCGCCTCCAGCATAGACCGGATACATGCCCAACCCGTACATTGTCTCTGGGATGAAGTATTTGCTCTTGTGCGTCCGGATCGGTTGTGCGTTGTAGATGATGTCCCCCACGAAGAGGTCCTCGGCGGGATCGCGGCTCTCGAGGAAGTTCACAATGTTCTCCACGTTGACAAAGACATCAGCGTCGCCCTTGAAGATGAACTTGGTGTTGGAACAAAACTCGTCCGCCCAGTTGAGGAAATGGATCTCTTTCAGAGTCAAGTTGAAGAAGGTGTCGAGGAAGTCCCACAAGAGGATGTCCCGATACATCTGGCTCTCCTGTTGGACGAGAGTCTCCCAAGTCGGCAAAGTCGTCTTATTCTTCGGGACAGCCAGGAGGAAAACCCTTTGAACCTGAGCTCCGTTCACCAACCCTTCCCTTCCCCAGGTTTTCCGGACAATCTCCCGGCGGTCAAAGTCCTCCACCAGGGATTTGACCGCAATGAGCAAGAAAGGACCGCCTGGGTTCCTTTTGCACTTCTTGGGTTGGTTAATGAGAATATCAAACTTCCTGTTGTCTTTGTCCCGAAGGTATTGCCTGAAATCAAAGGCGGAAGGTGTTGAAGGTGGAGGGCTGGTGCCCACGTGGCTTTGACTTGCCACCTTCAGATGCTTCATGGCTGAAATCATTCTGGGCCCGGATGCTGTCGGCCTGGCATCCAGCTTCCTTTGGAGGGCATGGAAGGCCCTACGTGTTGATGGCGAAGGCCTCTTTGGGACCTTCACTTGTTCTTCTCGAAGGGAAGTGTGACCCAGCTGGGAATAGAGGATGGTGAAGAGCGCTACCACCAGGAAGAGTGTACAGATGGCATCACCCTTCAGTTGAACTCTCATTGTTTTCACAAATTTCCAAGGGACGTTCGATGTTGTTTTAGGCGAATGGTCTGCTGGCCCTTTCCATCTGCAAATAAAGAAGAGAGAGGTCAGAGCACTTTATGGCACCACTTGCGGTAAATCAGAGCAACTTTTCATAGACTTGCCAGTAGCTTATGACACTGTAAATCAGTGGTTCTCAACCTTCGTAATGCCGCGACCCCTTAATACAGTGCCTCACGTTGTGGTGACCCCCAACCATAAAATTATTATTATTGCTACTTCCTAATTGTAATTGTGTTACTGTTATGAATCATAATGTAAAAATCTGAAATGCAGGATGTATTTTCATTCACTGGACCAAATTTGGCACAAATACCCAACAACAGTGCTCCATGCCGTCATGTCAGCCACATGACCTTGGAGGTGTCTATGGACAACACCGGCTCTTTGGCCTAGAAATTGAGCACCAACTCCCAGAGTTAGACACGACTGGACTTAATGTCAGGGGAAAACTTTTACCTTATGTTAATATGCCCAAATTTGAATACTGGTGGGGTTGGAGGGAAAATAGATTATGTCATTTGGGAGTTGTAGTTGCGATTTATAGTTCACCTAGTGGTGGTGTTGAATGCAATAGTTCGGCTACTCTTGGGCAGAATGGCGTGGGGACTGCGCATGTGACACAGTAGGCATTATGGTCGTCATCCAATCCATCTCATATGATTTCGTATAGATTGACGCTATGATACCTGCCGCACATGGCAGGTTCCTGACAGATTCTGATAGAGAGGCTAATGCCAGGGCAAAGGGCCTTGCGTTGACAGCACCAAAGGCATTCCTGCAGCCCCCCCCCCCCATGCATTTCCAGGAAAAGCATTCTTAAAGCACAGCAGACAAAGAGTCAGTACAAGAAAACTGCACTCCAAACCAGAGCTGACAGCTGGCACCACAAAGCATTGCATGGGCAGTGGGTTGTTGTAGGTTTTTCAGACTATATCACCATGTTCTAGAGGCATTCTCTCCTGACGTTTTTGCCTGCATCTATGGCAAGCATCCTCAGAGGTTGCGTGCCATAGGTGCAGGCAAAAATGTCAGGAGAGAATGCCTCTAGACCAGTGTTTCCCAACCTGGGGGTCAGGACCCCTGAGGGGTTCGCGAGGGGGCGTCAAAGGGGTCACTGAAGACCATCAGAAAACACAGTTTTCGAGGAAGCTTATCGTAGCTTCACAGTATTCTCTCGTTGGCTACATGCCAGGGAGAGCTTCTGTTCAAGTAGACATGCACACAATGATTGCCCTCTAGAGTCTCTATTCGTACTTGTGGCAGTTCGAGAATCTCGATCTGCTGATTGTTCGTGACGACATGCTATCAAACTGTGCGGCCAGCTAACTATTCGAAAACTAGCCACACATCTGTCAAAGCGTCTATTTCGGGCAGACCCATGACTAGCCACTATGTGTCTGGCGGATTTAGTAGAAGTTCATCAGCACTCAACAGAGTTGGCAAACGACCGTAGCGCCATCGGCCATACCGCCTCGCACCCATTCTGCCAAAAGGCAGGATATTCTTCATCCTCCCCTAAAGATCGAGTGACCTTGATTGGAAGGCGTGAGCGATGACAGTGCGCTCGTGTCGACGCCGCGACGGGGGTGGATAGTAGCCATCTCCTCAAGAAGGAGCCCATGCTCAGCACACTCTGGGCAGGTTCCCTGCGCTGAACCTCCTGTTGCTCCATCAGCAAGGGATGACAGGAAGCTGGTCTGCCTATATGCTGTTCAGCGCGATGGCATCTCTCTCTTGTAGTTTGAAGCCATTGTTTCGCGTCCTAGTCTCCAGAGGAAGCAGAAAACAAGCTTGGCTCCCTCCTCCCTGTGGCTTCCTCTCACATATTTATACATGGCTATCATATCTCCTCTCAGCCTTCTCTTCTTCAGGCTAAACATGCCCAGCTCTTTAAGCTGCTCCTCATAGGGCTTGTTCTCCAGACCCTTGATCATTTTAGTTGCCCTCCTCTGGACACATTCCAGCTTGTCAACATCTCCCTTCAATTGTGGTGCCCACAATTGCACACAGTGTGATTCCAGGTGTGGTCTGACCAAGGCAGTGTAGAGGGGTAGCATGACTTCCCTGAATCTAGACATTATACTCCTATTTATGCAACCCAATATCCTGTTGTCTTTTTTTTACCACCACCTGGCTCATGTTTACCTTCCTGTCCACGAGGTCTCCAAGATCTTTTTCACACGTACTGCTCTCGAGCCAGGCCTCATCGTCCCCCATTCTGTATCTTTGCATTTCGTTTTTCCTGCCTAAGTGGAGTATCTTGCATTTGTCCCTGTTGAACTTCATTTTGTTAGTTTTGGCCATTCATCTCTCTAATCTGTCAAGATCGTTTTGGAGTCTTGGCTCTCCCTCCCAATTTGGTGTCATCTGCAAACTTGATGATCATGCCAAGGAGAAGACCTGGTGATGGCTTACGAATGGAACGCTGAAGAAGGAGACAGAAGAAGGCCTGATTCTTGCATCCCAGGAACAAGCCATCAGGACATCATTCGAAAATACATCACACAGTCCTAGATGCTTGGGAAGGGTTCGACTTGTGATTTTGTGATATGAAATCCAGCATAGAGATCTCGTTTGCTGTGTCATACTGTGCTTTTGTGTTAGTAAAATAATGATGATGATGATGATGATAATAATAATAATAATAATAGCCCAGGAGAAAGCCATCAGAACAAGTGCCATTAAGGTCAGGACTGAAAAATCAGTGGATGACCCAAAATGCAGACTGTGCAAGGAAGCTGAGGAAACCATGGACCATCTCCTCAGCTGTGGGAAGAAAACTGCACAGACGGACTACAAACAGAGGCACAACTCTGTGGCCCAGATGACTGACTAGAACTTATGTCACAAGGACCGGAGTAAAGAATTCGTGGGATCATAAACCCGCAACGGTCGTGGAAAATGAACACGCAAAAATACTGTGGGACTTTCGAATCCAGGCTGACAAAGTTTTGGAACACAATACACCAGACATCACGATTGTGGAAAAGAAAAAAGTTTGTATGATTGATGTCGCCATTCCAGGTGAGAGTCGCATTGAGGAAAAACAACAGGAGAAACTCAGCCGCTATCAAGACCTCAAAATTGGGCTTGCCAAGAAACGCACTGGGAAAGGCAGCCTTGCTTCGTTAGAGATGGATGTCACTTAGAAAAGAGAAAGTCCCCTGGCTAATCTGACTCCGTCGAGGAAGCCACTGCCATGAAGAAAGGGATCCCTTGGCAGTCCCTCTTTGAGAGGCTTTTAGGATTCAACAGTGACTTGACAGCACATCAAGGAAGCCAGTGTTTGCAGGAGTTGAGCTGGACTGTGCCGGTCAAGGGGGCTCCTTGGCGTCTCCATTGAGAGGGTCGCCAAACTTCAGCCCTCCCTCCAGGTGTTTTGGACTTCAACTCCCACAATTCCAGAGCCCACCTGATAGCCCATGGTTTATTTCTCGTGTCAGGGCAGCCAGTCAAATATATTACATTTCTAACAGAACAAAGCAAACAAACAGATAAAATACAACATTTGCAAGCTTGGTAGTTGATTCAATGTCCTTTGACCAGTATTTGGCCACTTGGAGTGCCTCTGGTGTTGCTGCAAGAAGGTCCTCCATCGTGCATGTGGCTGGGCTCAGGTTGCATTGCAGCAGGTGGTCAGTGGTTTGCTCCTCTCCGCACTCACATGCCGTGAATTCCTCTTTGTAGCCCCATTTCTGAAGGTTGGCTCTGCACCTCATGGTGCCAAAGCGCAGTCTGTTCAGCGCCTTCCAAGTTGCCCAGTCCTCTGTGTGCCCAGGGGGGAGTCTCTCATCTGGTATCAGCCATTGGTTGAGGTTCTGGGTTTGAGCCTGCCACTTTTGGACTCTCGCTTGCTGAGGTGTTCCAGCGAGTGTCTCTGTAGATCTTAGAAAACTATGTCTGGATTTAAGTCGTTGACGTGCTGGCTGATACCCAAACAGGGGATGAGCTGGAGATGTCTCTGCCTTGGTCCTTTCACTATTGGCTGCTACTTCCCGGCGGATGTCAGGTGGTGCAATACCGGCTAAGAAGTGTAATTTCTCCAGTGGTGTAGGGCGCAGGCACCCCGTAATAATGCGGCATGTCTCATTAAGAGCCACATCCACTGTTTTAGCGTGGTGAGATGTGTTCCACACTGGGCATGCATACTCAGCAGCAGAGTAGCATAGCGCAAGGGCAGATGTCTTCACTGTGTCTGGTTGTGATCCCCAGGTTGTGCCAGTCAGCTTTCATATGATATTGTTTCTAGCACCCACTTTTTGCTTGATGTTCAGGCAGTGCTTCTTGTAGGTCAGAGCACGGTCTAGAGTGACTCCTCCCAGGTATTTGGGTGCGCTGCAATGCTCCAGTGGGATTCCTTCCTTCCCAGGTAATCCTCAGAGCTCGGGATGTTTGTCTGTTCTTGAGATGGAAAACACATGTCTGTGTTTTAGATGGATTAGGGATCAGCTGGTTTTCCCTGTAAAAGGCAGTAAGAGCACCTAGAGCTTCGGAGAGCTTCTGTTCACCATCTCAAAGCTCCCTGCTTGAGCGGTAATGGCATGATCATCAGCATAGATGAAACTCTCTGTCCCTTCTGGCAGTGGCTGGTCATTTGTGTAGATGTTGAACATGGATGGAGCAAGCACGCTCCCCTGAGGCAGGCCGTTCTTCTGTTTCCGCCATCTGCTTCTCTGGCCCTGGAACTCAACGAAAAAGCTCCTGTTTTGTAGCAGGTTTCCTATGAGGCGGGTGAGGTGGTAGCTCATGGTGACAAGCAGGGAAAGAGGAGAGCTGCCTTGGATGCAGATTGGGTCCCTCAAAGAAGCCATGGCTGCCCTGAGTCCTCGAGACCTGAGCATGGGCTCTGGATGACCCGAGAGCCTTGGAGATCACTGAGCGAGCCTGAGTCCAAATTGGCACGACCGATGATAGATCAACTGGCACGGACAGCTGTAAAGACAAGGTCTTTTTCACTGAGTCTTTCCAAATGTCAGTCAAGAGATGGATGTCAATTGGAAAAGAGAAATCTTCCTGAACAAGATTTCCAGCCTCCTGGCATTTTTCTTCTTCTGCAGAAACTTTTGTTGGCTTGGGCTCAAAATCCCTCTGGCATGACACACACACATGCAAAAAGAATTCTTTTCTCTGCAATTTGAACCAAAATTGCAGGACTCTGCTCATGTAAAGAGGGCTCCACCCTGCAGCTTGGTTTCAAACTCCTGGGAATTCCCAGGAGAAAGCAATGCTTCCCCCTTCCCCCCCTTTTTTTTGTCGTGTCAGGAGCGACTTGAGAAACTGCAAGTTGCTTCTGGTGTGAGAGAATTGGCTGCCTGCAAGGACGTTGCCCAGGGGACGCCCGGATGATTTTGATGTTTTTATCATCCTTGTGGGAAGCTTCTCTCATGTCCTGAAAATGGGAAATTATTGTTTCCATTTGATGTTATGTCTGATATAATAGGCTGTGTTTTTTTATTTAAATTTAGTTGTTAAGTCATAATTTGTGTTTATATGTTTATTTTGTTAGTTTGGATGTATTGATGTATTCGGGCATTGAATGTTTTATGCCTTTTATGTTTGGAATCTGCCCTGAATCCCTTTGGGGAGATAGAGCGGAATATAAATAAAGTATTATTATTATTATTATTATTATTATTATTATTATTATTATTGACACAAAAGCGCAGTATGTCACAGCAAAGGAGATCTCCATGCTGGATTTCATATCACAAAATCCCAAGTTGAACCCTTCCCAAGCGTCTAGGACTGTGTGATGTATTTTCGAATGATGCGCGCAGATCCAAGTCAGGTGGCCTTTTGCAGGTGACAGGTCATGATTTTGTCAATGTTCATTGTTTCCAAATGCCGGCTGAGATCTTTTCGCATGGCACCCAGTGACCACCTGGACTGGTTGATGCCGCCAGAGCCTTTGCCATTCGGTTTTGAGGTCTTGATAGCGGCTGAGTTTTTCCTGTTGTTTTTCCTCAATGCGACTCTCACCTGGAATGGCGACATCCATAATCCAAACGTTTTTTCTTTTCCACAATTGTGATGCCTGGTGTATTGTGTTCCAAAATTTTATCAGTCTGGATTCGAAGGCCCCACAGTATTTTTGCATACTTATTTTCCACGACCTTTGCAGTTTTATGATCCCTTTACCAGTTCTTTACTCCTGGCATGTGGACCTTGTGACATAAGTTCCAGTGAATCATCTGGGCCACAGATTTGTGCCTCTGTTTGTAGTCCATCTGTGCGATTTTCTTGCAGCAGCTTAGCAGATGGTCCATGGTTTCATCGGCTTCCTTGCACAGTCTGCATTTTGGGTCACCCGCTGATTTTTCGATCCTGGCCTTAACGGCATTGGTTCTGCTGTCTTGCTCCTGGGCTGCAAGAACCAGGCCTTCTTCTGTCTCCTTCTTCAGGTTCCCATTTGTGAGCCATCACTAGGTCTTCTCCTTATCAGCTTTTCCTTCAATTTTGTCAAGGAACTGTTCATGTAATGCTTTGTGGTGCCAGCTGACATCCCTGGTTTGGAGTGCAGTTTTCTTGTACTGACTCTTTGTCTGCTGTGCTTGGAGAAGCTTCCGATTATTGACTTTAATTAAAGCAGGTTCTTGGCTTTCCTTGACATCTTCTGCCAGGGCTTCATGTTTTTCTTCTTCGACTGCTTGTTTGACTTGTAAGAGTCCTCTA